GATCAAGCTTCCCATGTACTAGCAGACAAATAACTTGACCGCGTGCCAGGGACTGCAAAAAGGAGCCCATACGAAAATATTTCCATGTAATCCCAGTCGAGGGGCCAAGAAGGACCAACAGACTCAAACTGCGGGTGTGCCTCAAGGTGGCAAAGCACTTCCCGTAGCTCCACCTGTACCCGAGCAGCCGAACGTCACTAGGGGGGTTTGGAGTCTAGGGTTCAGGAGGTCTGCCCTGATTGAGTTGTGGAAACACACAATATGACAAGCCACGGTCCACATGACCCAGATTTAGGATTTGGGGTTGGGAGGGTTTCTCAGTAGTATTTGTCCCACTTTAAAGTCAAGGCATGGAGCTTCTACCTTCCTTCCTGATTTCCTACTGTTTAAGTACAAGGTAATAATGTTGAGACACCCCCATGGTTACAGCGCCAACACCTCCCTTCATTCGAGGTGGGATTCTTAGCTTCCCCGAAAACTGAGAAGAAGATTTGGGAAGGTTTGGGGCCACAAGGCTTACCGTATAGGCTGAGACACCCCTAAACCCTAAACCCTAAACCCGAGACCCCAAATGCCATTAAAACCTCCGCCACCTCGGAGACGTTTCCCATGATGCCCAGCTGGCTTCCAGCTTTGCTAGGGCTGGAGGAGCCTTGTGCACTTTATTACTATATTGGTATTATATAGGGACATTAATGGAAAAGAAAATGGAAACTACTGTATAGTATTTTGGGGTTATGTAAGGATTACAGCGTATATATTGGGGTCATGTAGGGGTGATGGAAAAGAACATGGAAACTACTATAGAGTATTTTGGGGTTACATAACGATAAGCTTCTTAGAACAGGTCTGACATCCAGGGGCAGAAGAAAGTCCTCCTTAGGGTAAAGCAGAAGTTGAGATATCATCTGATGTGGGTGTCTTGAACTCATCCCTAACAAGGACCCAGAATCTTCCCCTAGAAACCTGTATGTCCTCAGGGTTCCGAGACACCCCAAACGCAAGCGGTAAGCCCCATTCCTACAACCTATATTGCTCACCTTTACGACGGTGATGTTGGAGCATTCCGTGCTGCAATGTGACTCAGAGCGGTGCCCAAGCAGCCAAGCGCAAAGGCGGCAAATCGATCCGCGAGCTGGCGATTCAAAGCTTGAGGTTTAGGGCTTAGCGTTTTTCACCCTCTTTTGCACCTCATCCAAGCGGCTTAGGGTTTAGAGCGCGCGGTTGAGAGCTTAGGGGTTAGGGCTTGAGGTTCGGATTCGGGGCTTAGGATTCAGGGTCTAGGGCCAAGGGCTTAGTTTACGGTTCAAGGTTCAGGCCTGGGTGTGAGTTGGCAGACTGAGTCCATGCAGTGCTTCTGGGGCTTTCTCAAAATAGGTAGCTTCAAGCACTCTAGGCGTACATCACAAGCGAGGGAGGTGGACTGGCACACGTCCCTCTACAGAATTCTCACAGAGGCATCTTGAGAAACGCGCCATAATGCCCGCTAGATCTGAAAGCTTCAGAAGTGCCTATAAGATGTAAGTGGTCCCATAGCCTGAACCCTAAACCCTTCCAAAAGAACGAGCCGGCCACAACCTCCTTTGAAGCCACCGGGGAATCTTGCAAGATTTCACCTCTCACTCGGGTCTGAGAGCTAGAGGTTTTGGGTGTTCGGGGTTCGGGTTTCTTTGGCTTTAGGTCTGAGAGTTAAAGGCATTCGGGGTCAGAATTTGGGGTTTTGGAGTTTAGGACATCTTGCAAGATCCATGGGAATGTGGCTGCTCCGGTTCTTCGATGCATGCAGAAACCATAAGGAAATTCTTCCTCGACTCCAATCAAAGTGTCACATGAGCTATGAAAGATTATCACGGCCCTCCAAAGTTTAGGTTAGTTTTTAGGGTTCGAGGTTTTTTAGTTTAGGTTCAAGGGTTGAGGATTTAGGGGGTGAGCGGGTTTTGGGTTTTGGTTTAGGGTGTGCCTGAAGCCCTTTTGGGGAGGATTGAGGTGCTCTTGAAGCAGAACTGATGTGATGGCATACATGTTTACCACATGGAACCCTCGCCCCGTTCCTCATCCTTGACTTCCAATTCTGCGTCTCCCTGATAACGGCTGCATTGATGGGAACAGCGTCGATGACTTTGACTCTCAGCCCAAAGCCAGAACTCCTAAATCTCCAAGATTGCGTCATGTGGAAGTCGCTGAGCTGGAAGAGCATCTGGCAAGGAATCAACTGCTTTTGCGCGTAAGGCTTGGGGGCCCAGAGCATGAGCAGAGTGCGCAAACGTGTGTCTGAAACTTGCTTGCATCTTGGCGCAATAGTTCACTGGTCAGCCTCTATCAGGCATTGGAAAGGGAAGGCACATCTGTACAACCGTTGTGCCCGAATTTTGCGTATAACTTGATGCAAGAGATAACTAATTCGCACGGCCGCAGTTGGGCATGGCATGGGACAAGGAGTAACACATCTATATGTACACCCTCCTAAGTCCAACACAGGATGGAAGGAACCAGTTCTAGACGCCACTGGCCATTCAAATGTTCTATGGCCATTAAAGCGCTCTAGACCCTAGGCCTTGAGCTCAGCAGCGACGATACGTCTTTCTGGGAGCACTGCTGCTGCAAGTACAGTCGGCGCTGGCATCGCAAGTGTACCATTGCCAACCACGCTCTCGGCATATACTCCTGCATGATTGTCCGATGTTGGTATTGCCACAGCCTTGCCCTTTCCAACTGTCATAGCTGCCTTGCCAGTAGATGCACAATCCCCCAACAGTGCAAGCCTGTATCTCACCACCGAGATCAGCACAGGTGTCATCACGAGGGCCACGGCTCCTCATTGAGCGGTTGCCCCAGATCTCGGGGGTCTGTTGGCCGCCTCGCAATGAAGCCTTGACCGTTGGATATGGCCAGCGTGCTGTTGCTCTTGAAGTCCAACTTCCCGGTGGCTGAGTGGCCGAAAGCCGCCATTGTGAACGCCATGAACAGCACCTGCATCATGAGCACCCGCGCCATGGGATTGCGCAAGGGTCACTTCCAGCCAACTGACGGAGCTCGTGCCAAAATGTGTGCTGGAGGGCAGGGACAAGATGCACCAAATTGTCAAGCATCTGCCAGTTCTTACCTTGAGAACCTTAAACAGTAAACCCTAAACGTGAACGGTCTGACTTCGGGAAACTGCCAGGCATAAGCAGGCCGGGCAGGCCATTGCTCTGATGAGGTCCACAGTGTCGCTTTCGTCCAGAGAGCGTTAGAGCGGCGCGAGGCTCTCATCCAGAGAGTTGTTTAGCATGTGGGCGGTTGTCAAAATTCTGGTCCCAGTATTTAATACTAGGTGCCGTATTATCATAGGGATCCAAAAAGCGAGCATAGTTTTGACAACCACCCATGTGGGTTTTGAGGTTTCTATGGCCTTAGACAAGGAAGCGGGTGAGGGGTTAGGATGCAAGTGTGTGTTCACGACACGCTGGCACTGATGAGTTGAACTGGATGGGGCTCAAGAAAGATTTCAGGGGAGGGGGTCGCCTTCGCTGGGACAAGGATTGTTTGTGGATTTGACCGTATTGCTAAGGACTGTTGGGAGTTCGGATCTTTTAGGAGCTCTACAGCTGAAAAAAAAAGCAGGTGTGGGGGGGGGCGAGGGCTGTAGGGTGAGCTCGGGTTGAACTGGGACATAGTAGTATCCATGTTCTTCTCCATTATCTCGATACTATACCCCTATATATAATACCCCTAACTAATCCTCCTGTATTCTACCATTATCCGTATACTATACCCCCATATGAGTTTATGACATTTGCTGCAGGAACCCATCCGGCCTGCGGTCATCAAGACGGTAGGCTCAGCAGCCACAGCGGCTCCAAGGCTCTAAACTTTCTGGTGCTTGAAGGGATACTAGAATACACTATAATATGCTATCATACAGTATAATATACTATAATATACTATCATACAGTACAATATACTAGAATATACTAGAATATGCTGTAATGTACTATGGCTCTAAACTGTCAAAGGCGCTTAGAGGAAAGGGCTACCAGGATCCCTATCATAATCCCTATAATCCCTTTTGTTTCCATTGTCCTTTCCATTCTCCTTTTAGGGGAGAGGGCTGCAGCTACTGCGATTGAAGAGTCTATCTTCAAATGGAGCAATGACAATTGCTAGTCAGCCCTGAACAAAGCATGAGAGACCCCATGAGATTTGGCAGAGTGAATCATGTTTTCGGTAACCCAGCAAGCGGCGGAGGCTACGGTATTGTTTCGTAGAGTCTGGACTTACGGGGGCCTGTGTGACAGTCTGTGAGATATTATCAGCTGCCCAAACAGATGCAGACCTCCATTTCTGGACGCAAGATACCAGGAGCGTTCGACGGCTTGAGCCAAATTCCCGCATCGTCCTCGGGATGTGAGGCCTGAACAATTTCATTTTAGATCTCACTACAATCCCTATGCATTCTAGACGTACTCTTGTAAACTCCTGCTTCATATAGCAACTCATAGAAGCATGGGAAGCACTGTGGTGTAACGTTCTTCCTGGTCTGCCTCCCAACCTACTCTCCCAGGCTTTTCAGGATCGAAGGAGCATTCAGCTGCAGTTCTGGGCTGGGCAGAGGGATCGCCGCCTGGTCTGGCAGCGGCCTGCTTCCCCCCGACGTGAGCCGCGCAGCATTGGCGCAGGTTGGCAGGCAGAGGTATTCTTGGGGGTGGGTCAAAATGCCGGTGCCCTTGAGAATGTGGGCAGACCTTCGGATCAGGAGTTTGAGGGAGTAGGTGGGACAGGATTTTGACCTATGGCCCCATGTGGACTGAGGCTGTGAGAGTATTATCGCATGGAGTTCCCTGACGCACTGCCCAGCCCTAGGGATGTCACATAGTGAGACACCTACATTAGCATAGGCACATGCCGCACGGCTGATGGTGTGAGGGTTGAAGTTTCGGATTTTCGGATTTGGGGGTCGAGGAATTCTGCTAGACGTGTGGCTCTGTGCCTTGCCATGTTACGGCACTGACGCAGCCCACTCAGATGGATGTAGAGTTGGGCACGTACCAAAACCTGTTCAGGCGGTTGGGTTCAGGGCCTCAGGTCTCCAGGAATAGGGCTTATAGGGTGCGACGTTTATAGCGTAGGGCTCAGGCTCGTAGACTCTAGTCCAGTTCTGTTATCGAAGTGCTGCGCCTCAAGGACCTTCCCAACGTTCTCAAAAACCTTCCTTGACTAGGCCTGTAGCGGCAAGTGTACACTCCCAATGCTGGCCTCAGAGCACGAGTAGGGTACCCTGTTGGATCCCTCGGATCTAAGGGGATGGCAGGGGCCACCCCCGAACCCTTGACCCCAAAGCGTCTTTCCTGTTGGCTGGCAACGAATGTCGCTTGAAGGGAGGTCTGTATGGAGCGGGGAGGATACTTACTTCTAAACCCGAGCCATGAATCCCCGAACCCTGAATCCGAATCCTGGTGACTGAGACTGTGGCAAGACAGCAATGACGGCATACGCGGCGCAAAGTAGGTAGCCTTGCAGCCAGTTAGACCTGAGATAAAGTTATATTTTGGGATTCTGGGCTTCGGGTTGAGGGTTTAGAGGGTTGCAGGGCAACTGGTGGATCCGACCCACTTCTCATGCACCCTGAACTCAATCCCTACAGGCCCTACATTCTGCTGCATCTGGGTATGTGGCTGGCCGTCCACGACCATAGACAGGACAACGATGACGCTGAGCGTCATGACCTTCCACCCCAGGTGTGCCCACAAAGCATTACCTGGAGACTCATTCTGGTCTTGTAAGCTGGACAAGACAAGAAGCAGCGTATCTGAATATAGATATACATACATATTGCTACACACACACACCAAACAAAGCACAAAATGCAGCCCCGGTAAAACTTTCCACTTAAGATTACCCATGAGCCTGACGGCCTTGCGCAGAATCCTGAATCATGAAGACCTATTCTCCTCATAGAACTATTAGAGTACAATGCACCTTAAACCCTTGTTCTAATTCTCCAGGCCACTAAATTACCAGCCCTAAATACTGTTCCTATTATGTG